AAAGGAAGGAGCCTCTGGGGAGGCTGCTCCCTTTGCAGCCAGTGGGGTGGGTGGTAGAGGCCCAGGGGATGAGAGTGGGTGGTGGCAGCCTTAAAAAGGAGATCTCATTGGGGGAGGGTCGCTGGGCCTGAGGGAATGGCGGGGGTCTCTGGCTGAGATAGGACCCCGAGGCAAAAGAGTAGTCCTGGGCTGGTCTCCAGAGCTCCTTGAGGAAAGAGAAATGGCCACCCTCCGTGGAAGCTCTTCTGGCAAGGGTGTGAGGAGGGAAGAGCGAGAGGAGCCCAGGGCTAGTGCCTTTCCCTGAGTCCTCAGCTTGGGGCAGGGCAGGCAGGCGAGTGGTTCCAGGAGCTCTGATGGCCCAACAGTGCCCTGGAAAGCAGGGTCCTAGAGGACCTACATAGTTGCTTTGCGTGAATCTTGGGCTAAAGCCACAGAGGTGGGGTTCCCTTGGTGAAGGCGTACCTTTGTGTTATTCGTGAAAAATTATAATAGCTTCACAAACCTTATAATATTTTAGACTTTTCAAAACTGCCTTAAGGCAGCCCGATGTGGTAGTGGAAAGAGACCAAAACTGAAGCCTGCTTCTGCACATGAAAAAAACAGGGAAACCCGTAGCCAAATTACTTCGCCCTCTTGAGCTTCAGTATTTTCATCCGTAGGGTGGGGATAGTAATAACTAAGGACCCTCCCTCACTGGTTTCTGTGGGGATCAAATGGCACATGGGTGTGAAAGATGAGGGGCTTTCTATGGAAATGAAAGCTGTTCTTTTCTCTGAGCACTTTTATCTCCTGGGTTAGTTTCCTAGGGCTGTCATAATAAAATGCCATAAACTGAGTGACTTAAACAACAAAAATTTTATTGTCTCACAGCTCTGGGGGCCAGGAGTCTGAGATCAGGGCATCAGCAGGCTTGGTTCCTTCTGAGGGCTGTGAGGAAGAATCTGTTCCAGCCTCTCCCCGGCTTCTGGCGGCTCACTGGCAATCCTTGGTGTTCCGTGGGGTGTAGCAGCATCACCCTGATCTCCTCCTTCATCTTCACAAGGCGTTCCCCATGTGTGCGAGTCTATGTCCAAATTCCCCCTTTTTGTAAAGACACCAGTCATATTGGAGTAGGGACCACTCTACTCCAGTATGACCTCATCCTAACTAGTTACATCTGCCAAGACCTTATTTCAAAATAAGGTCACATTCTGAGGTATTAGGGGGTTAGGACTTAAACATATGAATGGGGGGGGGTGCGCAATTCAACCCTTAACACCTCTATTGCCCCATTTTATACTCCTTGGCAGTGAGGAGCGCAGGAGCACGCGCAGTGAGGCCGGGTGCAGGGGATGGAGTCAGTGGGGAAGGCCCAACTCTTCCAGGCAGGTTCAGCTCTCAGCTAAATTGAGTCTTCCTCCACCTCTTTTATTAAACACTTAAACATTTATTAAGCATCTACATATCCCACACATGGAGGATATAAAAAATGAATAAAATATTGTCCTTGACTTAAGAGGAAAAGAGAGACAGACGTGTAAACGAATCATTGCAAGGCAGTATGATTCATGCAGTGAGAGATTTATGTGGCAAGAAAGAGGTGGTCCAGGACAGGATTGTCAAGGAAGGCTCTCGAGAGGTGGTGACCTTAGCACTGAATCTTTGAAGACGACTAAGAGTTTTCCAGGCAGACACATTTCAACCAGAGGGAAAGCACCATGCTTGGACGTGTAAGAGCTGCCTGGCCTGGCTAGAAGATCAAAGGTAGGTTGGGTCGGGTATTAAGGGGATTATCCACAACCTAAAGGATGTGAACTTTATCCTATAGCACAGCCGTGGATAACTCTCTCTCCACTGTAAGCTCTGAAAAGGCAATGACTTCATTGGTTGTGAGAAATGAGGCCGGAGTGGTAAGCAGGAGCTAGCATAACACCTGGCACATGGTAGGCACACAGTAAATAAGTGAATGAACGAACGAATGGCTTTTAAGCAGCAGAGTGGTATGAGAGGAGAGACGTAAGAGTGGGATGAATGTAGAAGCAGAAAAATACAGTCAGGATAATTTACTGTAGGCCAGGCAAGTGTTGTGAGGATCTGAATGAGCCTGCAAGAAGAGGAAGGACATCTATGGCCTTAAACGGGATGGAAGGAAGGTGGGAAAGGTGAAAAGATGGATACATTTGTAGGGCTCTAGGGTTGGAAGTCGAGGGCGTTCCTGCCCGCTGATCTCCATTATCTCTGTGAAGCCTGGTTCCAGAGGGAGATAGAAGAGGCTGTGGATGGACCTCTTTTGGCTGAGGAGCCCCAGGAGTGCAGAGAAGAGTAGGAGGAGCTAAGAGCTGGGCTCAGCAGCCCCGAAGTCAAAAGGGAAATGCTGACTGCGGTCTTGAGCCAAGCCTGGGGATTTGGAAGGCAGGTGCAGTAGAAGGAAAAAGGGGTCTGCAGTGGAGTGAAGAGTCTCCTCCCAAAGTTCATGTCTACCCAGAACCTCAGAATGTTACTTCTTATTGAAATAGGGTCTTTGCAGATGTCATAAAGGTAAGAATTGAGATGAGATCATACTGGACTAGGGTGGACCCTAAATTCAATGACTGGTGTCATGATAAGAAGCAGAAATAGGGGCCAGCCCCCTAGCATAGCTGTTAAATTCGGCATGCTCTGCTTGGGCAGCCTGGGTTTGTGGGTTAGGATCTCAGGCACGGACCTACACCACTAGTCAGCCATGCTGTGGTGGCAACAGTCATATAAAGTGAAGGAAGATTGGCACAGATGTTAGCTCAGGATTAATCTTCCTCAGGGGAAAAATAAAAAAGAAAGAAACAGATACACAGATATACAAGAAAGAAGGTCGTGTGAAGACGCAGGCAGAGACTGGAGCTATGCTGCCACAAGCCACAGGAATCCGGGAGCCACTAGAAGCTGGAAAAGGCAAGGACGAGTTCTCCCCTGGATCCTTTGGAGGGAGCGCAGCATTGCCAACACAATACATACCCCACTATTCTAAGCCCCCAGCTTATGGTACTTTGTTACGGCAGCCCTGGGAAACTAACACAGGGCCAGACCACACGAGGCTGGTGAAGGCTGGGTCAAATGGTCGACCAAGGAGGGGAGACCTAGTCAGGAGCGGAGTGAGGTCAAGAGGGGCCGATGGACCGAGAGGGGTTTAGGGCTGAAGGTCCTGAGGAAGAATGGCAGGTTTAGGGAAAAGCTGGAAGGTCAGGAGATTGTAGCCAGAGAGTGGCCTGGGTGAAATTGAGTTTTCAGAGGTGGAGCGGTTCCAGGTGATTACAGGGACTGTCAGATCAGTCTCTCTCTTCAAGGATAAAAGCTACCTAACAAACAAATTCACCCTAAACTGGCAAGCAGTTTACCCTCCCTCGAGTCTGCACTTTAAATCCAAGGCCTAAAGAGGAGCCTACACGTTCTTCCAAGGAATTACCCGTAGCTCTCTCCATTTCGGTGGCATTCCAGACCCTGCCTGAGAGTCTGTGTTCTAGGAAGGAGGGCATGTGGGGAGGGGTGGGGGTGAGGTGTCCAATCACAGCCCAGGCGTGGATCTTCCCCAGCCCAGACGTTCAGCGGGAGGCCTGCCCTAGGGCTTCCAGAAGGGTGTGCACTTCTGGGGCCCTCTGAGATGTTAGGTGGCAGAGAAAACAAAACACACTAAAATGGCATTCAGGGTGAAGCTGGGCCATTTGAGGAAACTCAGAAGGAAAAACCCTAAGCAGGATCTTAAGACAATTAAGTGACATCTCTAGTGCAAGCCAGAGAAATTCTCTGAGTTGCCCAGGGCCGGGAATTACTCAGTTAAAAAGCAAAAGCACAAAGGGAAATGGAGGAACAGTGCTTCCTCCTCTGATACCTGAAGCTCAGCTGCCCCCATTCGTCTTACCCCGTTTGCCCTCTGCCAGCAGCTTCTCTCCCCAGGCCCCACGTTCAGACCAGTCTGCCTGCACCTCCCATCTGTCTACAGCACATCCCTCCCCACTTCCCCGAGGAACACTGACTGATCTTCTCTCCCCCTGCTTCCTAGCTGAGCTGCTGGGGGTTCTCCTCTCCACCTCCTCAAGACACGGCCTTCTAACACGTAAATAGGGAAGAGTGTTAGTTTCAAGAGAGAAGTGGAGAGGCACTGTGGAAGCTATAATTCCTTCCACTCACGGTGCCTGGGCCCAGAGGGCTGGGACCTTGAGCCCATCTCTTCAGCCCCTGCACAGTCCCCCATGGGTCCTTCTATTTGTCCCCACCCCGAGAGTGTCAGAGGTATAAGCCCCTGACCACGTCTTCTTGAGCTCTGTCTCCAGCCCACTCCCCTTTCCCAGCCACGTCCTGAGCCCCACTTCCTCCTCGACCTCTCCCCAGCTCTTTCTCTGAATCTGCCAGGTAGGAGGGATGGGTTGGGGTCACAGGCAGGTTATCTTTCACAGCCAGTGCAAGGATCCACTAAGAGCTATTCCAGGGACTGTGTTTTCCAGAATGGACTATGTATTTAATCAACGAAGGTATTTCTCTCCCAGAAGACAGCTGATCTCCTGGAGTGTCACATTCACCTTCTCTTGGTATTTATACAGGTGGGGAGAGGCAGCTCGGCTTGCCCTTCTCAACCCGAAGATAATCTGCATCCCTTCTCCTCGAGCCTCTCTCTGTTCATAACTGGGAATGGTGGCTTTCAACCAGCTCTCTCATGTGAGAAAAGCCAAAGGCTGGTGAGAGTCTGGGGACTGGGGTAGGAAAAGCAGCAAAATGTGTCAAAGAGCAGTGACAGTTTCTAGCTTATAAGCTGTCTGGGATGGCATAGGGGGAGGCGATTATTTTGAGTCACCACTGATGAAATATTTATCAAGCTGTGAAGGAAAACACTGCAGTGTAAAGCAGAGAACCAGCAACTGATTTAAGATCGAGGAGTTCAAGTCCTCACATCATTGCCAGGCTGTGCAGGGTTGGCAAGTCCCTTACCCTCTCTGGGTGTCAGGGCTGGGAGGGAGTAGAGAGAACCTCTAGCTGTATCCCACATATTAAAGATGAGGAAGTGGAGAGGCTGAGCTGCCCCAAGCTGCAGCTCCAAATGGATGGAGACGGGGACAGCATCAGGAGCCCACCTTCAGGCCCTGGGCACTGTCCTATCTATTACTAATTAGCTTGGGAAAGCCCTGGACCTGTCTGACCGGCAAAGAAGCCAGTGGCCTTCCTTCCAAGTATCTCCAAGAGGAGCAGGCTCAGATGGACGTTAGGAGGCTTGGTCAGGCCCCAGCAGGAAACAGAAAGACACTCAGCTGGGATTATGAAGGTAAGTGAATGAATGGGCCATTTGCAGAGGTGTGACAAGGTTAAGGGAATCAATAAGGACTGCTGAGGAGGCTGGAGATGCGCCACAGCAGGAAGCTATTCCCAGCCCCAGGCCTGAAGAGGGGCTTGGCAAAAAGGTAAGAGTTGGAGTAAGAATTGGAGCCATGCATGGGGCTGCCCAGAAGGAACTACGGTCGTAGAATCAAAGCCAGGCAGGGAAGGAGTGAGCAGAATGAATACTCCAACCAGTCTCTCACTGCTTCTGATCTCCTCCCAAAGCTTCCTGTTAATCTAACCCAAACTGGAAGGCAGAGAGCGAGGCAGCCCTGTGACACCATCCACAGGGATCCATCTCCTAAAGCACAGAGCAGGCAGAAAATGGGTCTTGGGTTGGGAGCAAAGCAAAATCATAAAGCCAGCAGAGGGGGTGTGGTAGATGTTACACTCCATCTACAATATGAATCCTGATTTCACTGCTTGTGCCTGTGTGATCTTGGGCAAGTCACTAGCTCTCTGAGCCTGGTTCTCTTCTTGGGGGCTAATCATAGCCTCTTAATGGAGTGGTTGTGAGGCTTAAATGAGGTGCCTTGTGGGAAAGTGCCAAACACATACTAGGTGCTTATCAAGGTCAGTTTCCCCTCCTTCAGAGCCCCTCTCCCAAGCTCTGCTGAATTGGAGGCACCAGGGCAGAGTGGAACGGAGAAAATATACAGGCTCAGATCTGGACCCTGGCTCCACAGCTACCACCTGCATGACCTTGAACAAGTCACTTGTCCTCTCTAACTTTGTTTTCTTAACAGTAAAAAGGGAAGATCCTGCTCATAAGGTTGTTGTGAGAATTAGAAATTGTCACCTAGTAAGGTATTGGGCTCATGGTAGGTAGACCTTGGAGTCACACTAATTCAAACCCCAAGCCCCTTCTTGTTAATCACGTGACCCTGGTCAAGTTTTTGAATCTATCTGAGCCTCAGTTTCTTCATCTATAACATGTGGATGATAAAAACACCTTTCTCTTAGGGTTGTGATAATGAAATGTAGTGGGCACTAAACATACCAGGCGGAGTCAACCCTCAAAGTTTGCTGTTGGTATTCATCGTTACTGTCATCAGTGCTGCAATGTCCCTGTGTTTCTTTCTCCAGTCAAACATCCAACCCCTCTCCTGAGACCCCAAAGTCTTTACTAGAGAAAGGCCAATAGAGAATGGGAGGAGGGGAGATAGACAGCAAATCCCAAGGGGAGGGGTTCAGGGCAGGCGGATGGCTCAGCCTGGTTGACAAACACCCTTGCCCAGCACACGCATGCAGATATGAGGTTCAGTTCAATACTTGGCCTGTAACTCGTCCTGGCCCTCCTCCACCCGGTCACCCAGACCACAGGAAGGACTGTCCTGCTTTCCTATCACCCCTAGGGCTGCCTAGTGCCTTGTTGTGACTCTGGCTGGCTTTCAGTTGGATGAAAACAGAGGGAAGAGGGGATTGTATGGTATGACTAGACCTGAAACTGTCTCCCTCCAATAATAACTTATTAAACACTCCCTATGAGCTAGGTACCGTTGGAGACTTAGTGTAATTAACTCTCATCAATTTCAACAATATCATGAAATTAGTAACGTTGGAATAGTAACATTACTGATATTGGAAGTTGAAGCCCAGAGAGGTTAGGGAACATGGCCAGCATCACACAGACAGTAGTGGGTGGAGTCCTCATTTGAAATCAGGTCTGATTGTTCCTAAAGGCCAAGCTTGGGCAGCCATGCCAGGTGGGCTCCCAGATGAATGGCCCATGTGTTGAACATCAGTGGAGGTAGTTGGAAATAGAATGGGAAGACAAGAGTGACGAATGAGTCTGGAACAGATGTGTGAACTGCATGGTCTGCCATCTCTGGTCATTTCCCAAGAGGGTTGGATACTGAGGATCTCTGGGGCTCCTTCCCCTCTGATACCCTGTGAGCCAGACCCTGACAACCAGGACCTTGGAGAACGGAGGGAACAATCCTGCTTCCCAGGCTCCAGGAATTTGCTCCTTTCCTCTACCCCATCCTGCTCCCTTGGGGCCTTGATCACTTTTCCTACCCTGACCTGCAGATAGCCTTGTGGCTAATGACTTTGTGTGCTAATCCTCCCCCAGGTGTGTCCCAGAGGGCACCTGGAGAGCGGTAGTGGGGTCTCAGTGGTAGGGGGAGCACTTTCCTACATCACAATGCCCAGGTGCTTTTGAGCACTTAATCTGCCAGCTTGTCAGGCAGGTCTGTGGTCTCAGGTGCTGACTGACTGGCCAAAGAGTTATGGGGAGGGGCAGCTAAACCCCTGTGGCCACAGTCAACCCCTTCAGAGCACAGGGGCTCTTCTTGGGACCTCTGAAGCCTGGACAAGAGGAGAGAAGCAGAGAAACCTGGGGGCACCATTATGATGCGCCACGCAGTGGAGTTGCGTGGGTGGGAGAAGCACACGGCTCTGGGTCTTCAGAACTGGCCCCCAAGGTGCTGTTCTAATTCATTGTTTTTTTCACTGATTCCACAAACAGTTATTCGGAGCTTACTTTGGGGTAAGCCTCGTGCAGGCTGAATCCGACAGCATCCTGCCCTCAAATTGCTCAGATCCAGTAGGAGTGATAAAACATGTGCACACTAAAAAAATATCAAAGCATGAAAGTTATACAAACCTGTCTTTGGCATTTATGAGAGTTACAAGGGTTCAGAGGAGAGAGAGACAGCTGGTGGGGGGAGGGGGATGCTTACATAGCACTTACCCCGTGCCAGTCAAAGTTCTAAGTGCTTTGCATACATTCACTCTGTTAATCCTCACAATCACCCTGTCATTTTGCAGATGATGAAACAGGCGTGGAGAGGATGAGTAACTTTCCCAAGGGCTGGTAAGTGGATTTGACCAGGCTGTGTGGTGCTCTCAACACCTAGGTTATTCTCCTGCTCCTGCCTTGCCCTCATGTCTTACCACCTGATTGTTAAAATGCAATTATAAAAATGAGCACTGGGCCCGGCCCCATGGCCCAGTGGTTAAAGTTCTGTACATTCCACTTAGACGGCCTGGGTTTGCGGGTTGGGATCCCAGGCATGGACCTGCTCCACTGACCAGCCATGCTGCGGAGGTGTCCCACATACAAAAAAATAGAGGAAGATTAGCACAGATGTTAGCTCAGGGCTAATCTTCCTCAAGCAAAAAAAAAAAAAGAGCACTGATGTCTGTACCAGTATTCTGTTCAGCATTAAAAACCAGTATATCTACAGCATGTTCGTGTGTGTCATCACTAGATTATAAACTACAAAGAATCTCATTCAGCTACACTTATTGAGTGTCTGCCAAGAGCCAGACACTGTTGTAGCTGCTTTCGCATATTCTAGGTCAATTTACTCCTTGCTACAGCCTTGGGAAATAGTGGCAATTTCCCCTGTTTTCCAGAGGAGGAAAATGGGAGACTGAGAGGAAAGAAACTTGCTCACCAGTAACTCCTGGAACTAAGCTTTGAACACACTTCTTTTAATACCAATTTACTTCTTTTAATTTTAAAGATTAACATTAATACTATTAATTGTTATTATATAGAACCACATACAGCATCGCCTAGAACTACTATCTTTTTCATTTGTTTTTGTTTGTTTTTGCATGTGAGGTAGGCTTTATTTTTTTATTTTTTTAGAACTAGCATCTTAATGCCTCACATTTAAAAGCATGGAACGTGAGCTTTGGATCTGGCTCCCAGTTCAAGTGTTCTGACCATCACTCTAGGTATGTAAACTTGGGCAAATCTCCTCGAATCTCTGAACCCCAACTTCCTCATCTATAAAATAGTGATTGTAATAACCGAACCTACAAGATTATTGTGAGAATTATATTAAATAGCATATAGAAAGTGCCAAGAACTGTGTAGGACACCCAGTAGGGTCCCAGTGAAAGGACACTATTCTGTATGGAGAGCCACACAGCATAGGTCCAATAAATACACATTGGAGTGATGGGTTTTACACAGTACTCTGACATACATTTTCATTTCATCACGTCAGTAACCTTGTAAGATAGATATTCCCATTTAGAGACAGATATTCCACAAATAGGAACTGGCAGAGCAGAATCTCAAATGCATGTCTCAGGACTCTCCATCCCAGTGCTCTCTCTGCCTTCTGTCACCTGTACAACGGAGACAATGTCCATGTTAGTCTTACCATCCAGGGAAAGGTTGGGAGATTCACAAGATGGCACAGATGCCCAGAAATGCCTTAGAAACAAAAGGACCAAAAAATCCATGGGGGTCTTAGGCTCCCACATCTTTCTTCTTGGAAAATCACAATGTACATTAACATATTAAGGGTCCTAAGAAATGTGTTTTAATTGGTCATGGGTCTCTTTATCCTATAACAGCTATTAATATCCTGCAATCCATAGAATTCATGTTGGGGAACATTGTCCTAGCAGAAGAGATCCCTAGTTCCATTGACCTAATGGAAGAGAACCCGAGTTCCACAAACCCCTTAATGGGCATCCACTTCTGAGCAATCAATAAAGAAGCATTAAAGTTTACCATGTGTAAGGTCCTGTGGGGGAATGTGGAGAATGTGGGAGGCTACAAAGCTGTGCTGAGGCCCTGAGCCTGTTCTCAAGGAATCCGTGGCAGGACGGAGAGAGGTGAAGCACAGCCACACCATTGAGGCTCAAGGAGGCCAAGTGTGATTTGGTGCTAAAGATGGTGTAAGGAGATGCACCCAGGAAGGAGGCCAGGGGAGAGAAAGGAGTTGGGTGATCAATTGGTGCTAGCCCAGGCAGCAGGGATGTTCCTTCAAAGAAGAAGGAAAAGGCAGCCCAACTTGGAACCAAAGACAGCAATCCCAGTAAGGCTGAGAACCCGGCCAGGTACACCATCAGGTGTGGAGGAGGAAACTTGGCAGGGTCCTGGCTGAGCGAATGGCAGAGTGGTGGAAGAGCAGCCACCGCCGAAGCCCTGCACAGAAGGAGCATCCGTGAATAAGACGTCTTGGCTGTTCCCAGGGACGGGGGAGGCTGTGGGAAGCCGGGCCCAAGAGAGCAGTCCAGAGATGGGGGAGAGCTTGTTGGCCCCACTTTGAAATCTCTGACTCTAGATTCATATGGGGGCAGTGGGTGGGGAGAAGTGGCTTACATCAGTTGTCCCTAAGACTATCCTTTGCATTTCCCCGTAGTCCAGAAAACAACAAAGTATAAAACAACTTAATCTGAGCTCAGCTTCGTCCTGAGAGCTGAGCACTGGGAGTTAATCATCCAATAAATATTTATGGAGTACCTGCGCTGTGAAAGAGATTCTACCAGCCCTACCTGGGTCTCCATCCTTCAGCGAGGAGAGGGTTGGGGGTAGAGGTCATGCGTGGAAAACGACAGCTTTCAGCACCAGGCAATGCGTGAGGAGCACTTGATAAATGGTGTCAGCTGAAGGTCTCCTCATTCATTCTCTCATCTGTCAGTTCTGAACCAGGACTCACAATCTGGCTTCAGGCAGGGAGAAGGCCTCCCAGGCTGCGAGTCAGGGTGGGCTTCATTCCATTCAACCAGCAGATATGAATGAGCCCAGCTGGGCGCTCGGTGCTAGGGGTAGGTGTGGGGATAGATAAGGAAATAAAACTACAAAACCTCACCTAGGTGCTTTGACAGAACCAAGTAGGACCAGTGCCAGCTGTCTGGCACTAGGGAGACAAGGAATATCTTACAGGGGTTGTGTGCCCGAGCAGATCTGAAAGGTGATGCAGAGTGAGGGCGTTCCTTGAGCAGAAGAGAAATGAGTGGATTTAGAGCTAGCTCACAGAGAACTGTGAATAATCTTGGCTATGCCCAGAGGAATACGCCTTCTGTAGGACCATCATGCCTTGCGTGTGTGAACAAGAGGGGGAAAAAAAGGTTAGTTTCCTGGCCTGATTGGAGTGTGGGGCTGGAGAAGAGGAATGGGTCTTGACACACCTTGTAAGTCACGCTAAGAAGTCTGGACTTTATTGGAGAGCCACTGAGGGTCCACTGGAAGATGTTACACAGTGCAAGACACCTTAGCTCTGCCCTTTAGAAAGAGCCTTCTGGCCCCCATTGTAAGGAGGAGGCCTAGTGAGACCAGAGGCAGGGGAGTCAGGAAGAGCTTGAGCCGGGACTTGAGGATGCTTCAGTTCAGGCCTGTGGAGAGTGGGGCAGCCTTCAAGGCAGAAAGAAAAGCTTGGGCTTGTGGAAAAGTTGACCCCAGGTACGGGGGCAGGAAGCAGACCAGACACCACCTGGACTCCAGCCCACGGGCCCTGCAGCCACACTGTGCCCCATCTCTCTCCTGTAAACATCCCCCTACCACCTTCAAATAGTATTTTTGGGACCAGCCAACGTTGTAGCCTGTAGAGAGGATGAAAACCAGCTCTCCCCAGAGGGGAGGAGAATAGAGAAGGAGAAGAGGGAGGAGAAAGAACTGTGCCGAGAGAGGGGAAGGAATTGATGCAGGTCCTGCCCCTCCAGCTTTGTGCTTGGGTCAAGGGGTGGTCAGGGGGCACTCTTGAGGGTAGAGCAGACTGCAGGACTCAGGCGTTGCTCTGAACACTGACAAGGCAGCCCTGGCCTGGGGGTCCCTCAGGACCCAGATGAACAGCCATGTCTATCGATAATGTTCCCCTTCAGCATTTTGAAGTGATGAGAGTGTGGCAGACAGTGACAATAGGCATCGAAGCAGAGCTGATTTAGCTGGTCTTGGAACCAGGAAAGGGGATGTGCTAGAAAGGAACAAAGTGCTGATGATTCAAAGTGAAGCGGGGAGGGCATAGTGGGGGGAGGGGAATAGCAGGCATCAAAGCGTTCATCGTTGAGACAGTCTGGGCACGCAGCAGGTGAGTGGCAGATGCAATTACGTCTCCCATCCTTGAGCTGCGACATTGCCCTGAGCATCTTGTGGAGTGCATCCGCCAAGCCTCAGTGGCTCAGACCCTTCAGCCCAAAGCCTTGAAACCAAGGCCAGAGAACACTAGCTCCAAGCCCCTTCCGGAGCTCTAAAACTAGGACTATGAAGATTTGGTAATGCTTCCTGGCTGCCTGGCACCCTGACTAATCTCTTCCCCATGTCTTGCTGGTCAGTCTCAGAGACCTACAGGGATGAAAGCAAATGATCTCAGAGGACCAAATCTGCCTAACCCGAGGGTAGAATTCAACCTGCTGTCCACCCAGGACTCATCATAGGCCAAAGCTGGGCTGGAGCCGAGGGCCCAGGTGTAGTGATAGGCAGAGAGAAAGGTCTCTCAGCTAAAGTTACCAACAACCCACTCCCTGCTTCCCCTGGGCTGAAACCATGCTGTCCAATTCCGTAGTGGCTAGCCACATATGGCTATTTGTGTCTAAATTCCTTAAAATTGTACAATTTAAAATTTAGTTCCTCAGTCACACTAGCCACACTTCACGTGCTCAATAGGCACACATGGCTAGTGGTTACCATATTGGACAGCACAGGGAGAGAACATTTCCGTGATTGCAGAAAATTCTATTGGGTAGCTCAGTAACACCCTAAAGTAACAACATCAGCATTAAAACCGAGAGCTACACCTCTTATACCATGCACCAAAGAGGGTCCTTTGGCTCCACGTCTCTGTTCTCCTGCAGTGCCCTTTCTCCTTTCTCTGTGTCCCTCCTCCTCAGATGCCTGGGCTCCCTGCTCACCCAGACCTTCCTGAGGAGTGACACCCCTCCTGCCTGCTGACCTCCAGGTTGTCTCCTCCTCCTAGGTCCTGGCTCCCTGGCTCTCCTTGCACACAGGTGGGGCACAGGAGAATGGCACATGGGATTGCAGTGTGGGGTGTGTCCTGGGCCCCTGCCTTCTTTCCTATGCTGGTGCCCTGGCCAGACCTAGGGCTCCCTATACCTGCCTCATCTGAGCCCAGAGCTCACCCTGAGTGACCAGGCCCTTGCCTTCTCTTCAGAGCATTCTCAGGCCTCCAGAGCATCCTTTCCCCCAGGCTCAGAGCTGCCCAGTTCTTCTAGCTGTCCTAGTGGACTCTAACCTGACTCTCCTACATGTCTCCCTACAGGGCCCCCTCTCCTAAGGCTAAGGAAAGAGGTATCTGTTAAGGCTACCCCAAGGTGGGATGTTGTTCCAAGCCCTCCATGTCTCTTCAATCTGTTGATTTCTCAGGTGGCTCTTCCTAACCCTCTATCATCAAATGTCCTGCGTGATTTGGGGCATGTGGCAGAGATTGCTGACAGATCACCAAACCCATTGCATCTCCTTTCTGGGCACACAGCGAGGCTTCATTTTCTAGCATCACTTGCAGTTTAGTTGTGTCCTTGGGAATGAATTCTGGCCAATGGCACGTGAGGTGGTATGCGCCACTTCCAGGCCTCACCATAAAGATGTCCCAGGTACAGTCTTCATGGTTTTTTCCCTATCAGCTGGGTGTTGGAAGGCAGGGCCGCCTCGTATGAGAGATGGCAAAACCAGGACCACCTGGGCCCCTGAATAACTGCAGAACCCCACCCCACCAACCTGGGCCTGGAGTAGTGAGGGGGCACTCACACAGGCACACATCTGTCCACAGGGCCTCTTCCCATGAAGCTAGAGGTGCTCCTCTGGCTCCCGGTCCTATTTCTGGTAAACAGCCAGGGCATGTCTGCCTTGAGGCTGTGTGGATGAAGGAACTTTTACTTCCCCAGCCACCTCCCCGCCCATGTCACCTTTCAAGTTAGTCTGCAAATTGCTTTGGACAATCTCACTTGGGTCCTGAGGCCAGAAAGACCATTTCTGCCCCTGCAGGCTGGTTAATGACTTGGCTCCCGCCACTTGGCAAGCTTCTGCCTCTCTTGCTGTGGAGAAATGAGCTGAGTGATGGTCAGAGGAGGGAGCAAGGCCTCTAGTTGAGAGCAGCCCCCGTTTCTAAATTATGGAAAGAGGCCTCTAACCTCCTCCCTCCCTGACCTCTTGCAGGTAGAAGCCTCCGTGTCAGCAAATTTTGATTCACGTTGCAGAGATTAGATTTGAAGCTCAGAAAGACCTTGCTTGATTGGACAAAGAGGCGCAGTGCACTGCCGGCAGAGGCCTTCCTCTGTGCTGTCTCTAGCAACTTTCTGTTGCCCCGCCCTGGGCTGAGAACAGGCGGAAGTCTCCATGGACTGTGTCTGTGGGTCTGGGGTCCTTCTGCTTCTACTGCTCTCTGCTCCCTCCTGGGAGGTGTCTTCAGCGAGGCACGTGCTCCAGCTGAAGCCATCTCAGTCTAAACCGAGTTAGAAGGAGTGTCATACTAGCTGAAGAGGCTGAGTCAAGTGTTCATCAAGCCGTAAATGAACAGCTGCCTCCCTCTTTGAGCCCGATGCCTGGATTATTCATTCCTTTTGGCTTTCAGATCCTTCTTTTGGATCCAGACAGAAACTGCTCCTTCCACGGCCACCTTAGTTTGTGATGTCATCCTTTCTGCCACCCCCACCCCCACTCCCAGCCTTCGTCTTATTTTGGTTGGGTGGGTGCGTCTCTCTCTTCTCCAGGCCTCTTCTTTCTTCCTGGACAGTCTCTGGGACACTGCTCCAGGCTTCTCTCGCCTCTAGCCAAT